TAATTGTTTATTTGTAGATTAATATTTTATAATACATTAAGTTAGAAATATAAAAATTTTCATTTATGTTAAAGGTGGTAGCACACACCTTTAATTCCAGCGCTTAGGAGGCAGAAGCAGGTGTGTCTGTTGAGTTTGAGGCCAGCTGGTCTACAGAGTAAGTTCCAGGACGGCCTGGGCACAGAGAAACCTTGTCTCAAAAAAAAAAAAAAAGGTTCTATTTCATTAGGCTTAGGAAGGGGGGAGAATGCTAAAAATTCTAATCTTTGACTTAGAAAACATATAAATTGGCTCATGAAACAGCAAAAGAACATTTAAAATGTAGTGTTACTGATAACAGAGCAAATACTTTAAAATAATTTAGCTCATAGTATGTTAATTACATAAGAAAACTTACAGAATGTAGTTTAGAAGGAAACGTAACAAAGGATCATGTAGTTTGAATTTTTTTTTTTTTTTTTTTTTTGAGCCTTGTTAGATGTGGCTCAGGCTGGCCTTGTAAAACTCATGATCTTTCTGCTTCAGCCTCTAGTGCTGGGATGTGTGGTACTATTCTTGGCTTTCAAAAGTTCTAGAGTAAGGTTTGAATTTGATTTGAAGAAGTTAAGGTGTGTTACATGGAGTTTGGCTAGACAAGTTTATGCTCTTGACCTGTGTGCCCCTCAGAAATGTGGACAACCATAGCTGTGACTGTCCAAGGTTGATATTCTGTCCCAGAACTGTTGCTGACCAGTCAGTCTTGTGTGGTCTTTTGTGGTATACCTAAGCATGCACCTCCTGGCTCTGACTATCGTCTTGAGGTCTGATAGGAGTGGGGCCTGCTCCCAATTGGGTCTGGATCATTGTGTTGCCACTTGCATGTCACATAGGTTTACTGGCTGGCTGTGGGCAGGTAGCTGCAGGAAATGACATAGGGCTATATCTCCTAGCAAGTTTGTACTGGAAGGGATGTGCTTGAGGTAAGGAGAGCCTGAGTGCCTTGCTGTGTCTTGCCTTCCCTTCTCTCCTAAGGGTGTAGGGTTTTGTTGTGGTGATGAGAGTCAGTTATAGTCTATAGGGCGGGTAGCAGGAGAGGATCCTGTGGTTTGGTTTTGTCTTTGTCTCCTCAGAGGACTTTTTTGGTTTTTCAAGACAGGATTTCTCTGAGTATCCTTGGTTGTCCTGGACTCACTTTGTAGACCAGGCTGGCCTTGAACACACAGAGATCTGCCTGCCTCTGCCTCCCAGAGTGCTGGGATTACAGGTGTGTGCCACGTGCCTTTTGATATTATAACTTTTTCCAGAATGAGGAAAGTCCTTCCCAAGGGAAGGATTTCATGGTACCCAGATCAGGAATGTGTGTCCTTTTGAGGAAGCATGAATCCTCCTTGTGTCATATAGTCATGTTGCAGCCATGTGTGGGGTTTGTCTGAGGAGCTGCCGTTTCCTTTTCAGCCGTTCAAAAGAGTAAATCTTTGTAGACTATAGTATCTGGAATTTTTAGTCTGTTTATGTAGAATGGTGTTAAAATTTTTTACCAAGAGATGGCAAGATGGCTCAGTGGATAAAGGTACTTGTTACCAATCCTGCTGACCTGAGTTTGATGTCTGATGGGAAAAAAGTCCATATTACAACATATACATGCACGTGCACAAATATAACACAGAATAAATATGTAATTTTTTTTTCTCCTGAGGTAGTATATTTACTATCTTCTATTTATATTTTTTTTGTCATCTTCTACTTTACCTAGTTTGGGGCTTTGGTGCCCAACCAAGGTCTAAATCATAACCTTATGCATACTAATGCCTATCGTTTGTCCCTTGGAGCTCTGTGGTCTCTTGTCCATGTGACTTTCTTTATGCTTTATTTTTATTTTCGTAAATTCCTGGCCTTGCTTGCATTTAAGGCTTTTCTTTTTTCCCCAGACTTAGCTCTGAAGTAGTCTTGTAGTATCTACTCTGTATGGATAAATGGCTCCTGTCGTCTCAGTAGGGTCTATAGAATCTGGAGAGTCTCTGGACAAATCTCTCTAGCTCAGAGGGACAGGGGTCACACTGTAGACTGTCTTGATGAGCGGTGATGAGAGAACAAAGGAGCGCAGTATACAACTGGACTTTAGGATGTTTAGAGAGGACCAGGCTCTCCTAGCTACACGAAGGGGTAGGGTCAGTGATAAGCATTTTCACTCAGATTGTGATCCATGAACTTTAGGTTTCCATAGTAAGAATAGATTGGTAATCAGTGACGTTGGACAATTGGCTAGTCATGTGATAAGACAGGACATTGAGGACTGGTGAGGTGGCTTAGCAGGTAAAAGTGCTTCCTCAATAATCTTGACATCTGAGGTTGATTCCTGGAGCCCACGGTAGAAGAGCATTATTGTCCTGAAAACTTTAGGACTTTGTTGTCTGTTTGACCTTCAACATCACACTTGTATGTCACACACACAAATAATAAAAATAATATTTGGAATAGAACATCAACTCTTTTGGTTTTTCAAGACATAGTTTCTCTGTGTAGTCTTGGCTTTCCTGGACTTGTTTGTAGACCAGGCTGCCCTTGAACTCAGAGAGATCCACTTACCACTGACTCCTCAAGAGATACTTACTTCTTAAACCAAAATAAATTTTTTTTAATTAAAGATTTACTTTTAGTATCTTTTTGTTTGGCTGTGGTGTGTGTGTATGTGTGTGTTTTGAGATTGGGTTTCACTGTACAGCCCTGGCTGTTCTGGAACTCTTGTCTAAACCAGGCTGGCCTCAAGCTCCAGAGAGCCTCCTGCCTCTGCCTCCCAAGGGCTGAGATTAAAGGTGTGCACTGCTGTAGCGCTGCCACCACCTGGCTACTTTAATTATGAGTATGTGGGCTCTCTCTCTCTCTCACTCTGTGCGCATGTATGTTTATATCTCGGAATATGTGCCAGAGGCCAGGGATCCTCTTACAGGCATTGTAAGCCACTCTGTGGGTCCTAGAGTTGAATTTGGGCCCTCTGGAAGAACAGCAAGCACTATTAAATGCCGAGCGAGCTTTTCAGCTTCCAGATAAAACTCTTATAGTTGAAAGATGCTCATAAAAAGTAAAGGTGTTGGACATGTGGTAGTGCACGTCTTTAATCCCAGTGCTAGGGAGCAGACACAGGCAAGTCTCTGAGTTCAAGGCCAAGCTTGTCTGTAGAGTGAGTTCCAGAACAGACAGGGCTACATAGAAAGACTACCTCAAAAAAAGAAAATTAGGTTATGTTGGCAATTTAAGAATTATTCATGTATTTTATGAATATGAGTGTTTTGTCTTTATACACATCAGAAGAGGGATTCAGATCTTATTAAGATTGTTGTGAACCACCTTGTGGTTGCTGGGAACTGAACTCAGGATCTCTGGAAGACCACTCAAGTGCTCTTAACCCCTGAGTCGTTACTCTAGACTCTTGCTGGCAAACTTAGGTAGGAAAGAACTTCAGAAATACTATACTCAAAGCACGTGTGGTCATTTATGCCTGTAATCCCAGCACTGAGGAGGTGCTATATAAAAAAGGATTGTAAACTGAGGCCTAAGCTACATTGTGAACTCCTGTCTAAAAGAAAAGAAAGTACCTAGGTATGGTGGCACACACCTTTAGTTCCAGCATGGAGAAGGCAGGAATAATTGGATCTCTGTAAGCTTGAGGCCAGCCTGGTCTCCACTGGAAGTTTCAGGCTGGCCAGGGCTACATAGTGAGACCTTGTCTCAAGAAAAAAGTAACAGCTCAAGAGATGGCTCAGCAGTTATGAGCATGGGTTGCTCTTTCAGAGATCTTCAGTTAAGTTCTTGTCATCCACTCACGGCTAACTGTATATAACTGTCTGTATAACTCTATACAGTCTTAACTATAGTCTTAACGGATCCAGTGTCTTCTTCTGGTATGAGTACATGCAGAGAAAGCACCCATACACATAAAATACATAAACAAATTTTTTAAAAGTAACATTTTACAAACCTTGGGCCAAGCTATAGTAATCTGTTTTCTTTTTTTCTATCATTAACTGTTTTTATTTATTTAGTTAGTTTTTTTAAATTTTTTTTTTTCGAGACAGGGTTTCTTTGTGTAGCCCTGGTTGTCCTGGACTCACTCTGTAGACCAGGCTGGCCTTGAACTCATAGAGATCCGTTTGCCTCTGCCTCCTTGAGTACTCGGGTTACAGGCGTGCACCACTGTGCTGGGCTGTTGTTTTTTTTTTTTGTTTTTTTTTTTTTTTTTTTTTAAGACAAGGTTTCTTTATGTAGCCCTGACTGGCCTGGGTCAACCTCTGTCAACCAGACTGACCTCAAACTTGGAAGATCCACCTGAATCTGCCTCCTGAGTATTGAGATGGTGTTTGCCATCATACTTGGCAAGGCATTAAATTTCTTCCATCCTTAAAAATAAGCAACACTAAGTTATGTGTGTCTGTCTCTGTGTATGTATATGCATGTGAGTGCAAGTTCCCATGGAGATGAGAGGCATCAGATTCCCCTGAGCTGGAGTTACAGGTGGCTGTGAGCCACAGGATATGGGTGCAAGGAGCAGAACTTGGGTCCTTTGGAAGAGGAGCAAATTGAGCTGTTGAGCCATCTCTCCAGCCTGATAGCAATTATTTTTAAACATCATTTAAATTAATTCAAAGCCTTTAATTCCAGCACTCAGGAGGCAGAGGCAGGCACATCTCTGAGTTTAAGGCCAGCCTGGTCTATAGAGATAGTTCCAGGACAGCCAAGGTTGCATAGAGGAAACCCTGCCTCAACAAACAACAACAAATTAATATTAATTTATCACATATACTATAAAATGTTTTCTTTATTATGAAACTATGACACATATCTGTTAATTTTCATTACTAAAATTAAAGTATTGACATAAGCTAAAAACTGCTTATTTTGTTATTTTTACAAGATTTTTATCAGCTTGAAGTAATTATACACAATGGGCTTCATTATGACATTTTCATAACAGATGTATATATTTTGTTAATTTCACATCCATTACTCTCTTTTTGTCTCTCTTACCCACTTCTTCCCAGCTACTCCTCCTACTTTGATGTTTTTCTTTTCTTTCTTGAGGAAAGCAAGACAAATTAGTTTAATTAGCAATACTTAATAAGAGGATGGGTAGAGGGTTAATTACCTTTACCCATAGCAAAGACATCCTAACAGTAGCTGTATCACTGTTCTTAAATCTTCAAGGCATTTTCTTTTCTTTTTCTTTTTTTCCAAAGATACACACACACACACACACACACACACACACACACACACAGTTCCACCTGCACACATGCCCGACTTATCTATCTATCTATCTATCTATCTATCTATCTATCTATCTATCTATCATTTGCTTATTAATTATATATGTATTGTTCTGCCTGCACATCAAAAGAGGACACCAAATGTTATGAGCTGCCATGTGGTTGCTGGGAATTGAAGTCAGGCCCTCTGGAAGAGCAACCAGTGCTCTTAACCTCTGAGCTGTCTCTCCAGCCCTTTCCTTGGTTTTTTGAGACAGGGTTTCTCTGTGTAGCCCTGTCTATCTTGGATAGTGCTTTGTAGACCAGGCTGGCCTTGAACTCACAGAAATACTTCCTGTCTCTGCCTCCCAAGTTCTGGGACCAAAGGCGTGTGTTACCATACCCTGACTCTTCAAGGCATTTTCAACCTTGCATATTTCTAAACAAATCAGATTGTACTGAGTGATAAATATTTGCCTAGTGTGCCCTGGATTTGATCCCTAGCACCATAAAACAAAGCGTGTATGTATGTGTATATGTTTGTGAGTGTATGTATTAACAAAAAAATGAAAAGGTACTTGGGCATGGTGGCACACTTCTTTAATCTCAGCACTAGGAGGCAGGGACAGATGGATCTCTAGGAGTTCAAGGCCTGCCAGGTCTACACAATGAGACCTTTGTCTCAAAAAGAAAAAAGAAAAACAACAACAACAACAAAAATTAAAAAGTAGTCTTAAAATTTTCGCTTCCACAGCCGGGATACGAAAGTGAATAAATTATAATAATAAATATATATTTCATCTCCAATCCCAGTACTTGCCAGGCTGGTCTACAGTGTGAGTTCCAGGACAGCCAGGGCTACATAGAGAAACCCTGTTTGGACAAAAGAAATTGACAACAGAAAGTTAACTCCTGTTTTTGCCTCCCAAACTGAGAGATAATTGAGACCTTAGGAGGACATTGGGTGTCTTGCTCTATCACTCTTGACTGTTTTACTTGGAGAAAGTCTCTCACTCAACCCGAAGCTAGCTTCAGAGTAAACCCCAGTGATCCTGTTATCCCTATCCCATCATAGCTTGGGGGATAGAGGTAGGTTTTGTGTCCATACCTGACTTACTAAGATATGTCTTGTTTGTTTGTTTGTTTTTGAGACAGTTTCTCATGTAGTTCTGGCTGATAGAACTCATTGTGTAGATCAGATTTGGTCCCAAACTCTTCTCTTGTCTCTGCCTCCTAAATGCTGAGATTAGACGTATGCACCACCACTCTTGCCTGAGTAAATTTTTTTCTTGGTTCATCTTTCCAAAGACTGTTGTCTAGGTATGTAACCTCTTTTATTAATGTTGTAGCTTTCTTTTTTTTTTTATTTTTTATTTTATTTTATTTTTTTTTTTTGTTGTAGCTTTCTTATAGGAATAAATACTGCTCGTATTAATATTTTTCCAGTAGATTTCTTATCTTAAGCCTTTTTGGTCTTTTTAAAGATTTATTTTTGCTTATTTGTGTGTGCTCTCTCCTGTGTGTGTGTGTGTGTGTGTGTGTGTGTGTGTGTGCGTGCACGCACGCGCGTGCGCACGTGCATATGTATGTGCGCGTGCACTGTAGAGTTTCAGCTGAAGTTATGGGCATGTGTCAGCTACCAGATGAGGGTGCTGATAACTGAACTCGGGTTCTTTATAAGAGCAAGAAGTGCCCTCAACCACATAACCATTTTTCTAGTCACTATTACACCTTTAGAAATATACTCATTTTAACATTGTATGAATATTTGCCTGTGTTTATGTATGTGTGTGTCTAGTGCTAAAGGAGACCAGGAGAGGTACTACATCCCCTGAAACTAGAGTTATGGACAGTTATCAATTACTGTATTGAGTCTGGAGACTGATCACACCTGAGTCTTCTGCAAGAACAGCAAATGCTCTTAAGCACTGAGCCATATCTCTGGCCTTAAAAGATTTTTTAAAAAATATATTTTATTTCTTTTTATTTTCTATATATGAGTGTTCGAATATGTTTGTGCATCATATGTGTGCAGTGCTTGTGGAGGCCGGAAGAGGGCATCACATCCCTGGAAATGCAGTTACAGGTGGTTGTGAGCTGACATGTGGTTACTGGGAATCGAACCAGACATACATGCAAGCAAAATACTTACATATATAAACTAACAAAAATAAAAATTAGCAGGTTGTGGTGGCACACTCGTAATCCCAGTACTCTCAAAGCAGAGGCAGGCAGATCTCTGAGTTTGTGGCCATCCTGTTCTTCAAAGTAGGTTCCAGGACAGCCAGAGCTACACAGGGAAATCCTATCTCTAGAAAAACAAATATAAAAATATTAGAATTAAATTTAAAAATTTGAAATTATTCTTTTCCTAGCAAATAGGATCTTTCTCTGTTCAGTGTCTTTACTTTTGGTTTGTAACCCCGAGAGCCTGTCCAGAACCTCTTCTGTATTTTAGAAGCTTCCAGGTCCTGGGTCCTTGTGTTGCCTTTGTGTGTTACCATAGTATTTAGAGCTGCTGTAGCCATAAACACAAAGCTTTTGGCACCTGGTCACCTTTCCTTTAAAGGATTGGACTCTTTACTGGAGGATGAGCCACTTTACTGGAGGGCCCCCTCCCCTTTTTTTAAAAAAAGATTTATTTATTTATTTTATTATGTTTACGTACGTATTCTGCCTGCATGCCAGAAGAAAGCACCAGATCTCATTATAAATAGTTGTGAGACACCATGTTATTGCTGGGAACTGAACTCAGGACCTCTAGAAGAACAGCCAGTACTCTTAACCTCTGATCCATCTCTCCAGCACCACTGGAAGCATCTTTAAAAATGCAATGAAGAGGTTTTTCTTTTGGGTGCTTTAGCTATCCAGGAAGTCTCCTTTTATTTCTTTTAAAATAAGGGCTAAAGATCTCTTTTCCTCTTGTTCCTGAGATCTGCCCTTTTGACTAGCTACATGTGTCTTCCCTGTCCTTCAACCTTAGCAAAATCTGAAGTTTCAGTGGATAGTGGTCTCTTTGCCCATCCTTCTGGTTGCATTGATAGATGTTATTTCTTTCTGCAGCTAAGAGTGATGGCAAGGAATATCTGAGGGGGTTTGCTGTGGTCTCAGTGACTCTTTGAGGTTGAATGCTCTTATTTAAACACTATGCCCATGCTAGACAGAAAGGGACATCAGTCCCCTGGAAGTGGGTTGGACCAGGCCATCAATGAGTAAGGATGGGTTGAGTTCTGATAAGTGAATTTTCCTTTTGGACATGGAGTATGTTGAGGATAAAAAAGGATAGAATTCATGTTAAGATTAATAAGCATAAACACCACCAAGTAAAATAATTTTAAAGCAGTAGTAGATTTGCCCAGCTTCATCCCAATTTCTAACGTTCACATTTTTTATTTTTAAAATTAGGTCAGAAAAAAAGTGCACGGCAGTATCATGTCCAATTCTTTGGTGATGCCCCAGAAAGGGCTTGGATATTTGAGAAGAGTCTTGTTGCTTTTGAAGGAGAAGAACAATTTGAAAAATTATGCCAAGAAAGTGCCAAGCAGGCACCCACGAAAGCTGAGAAAATCAAGGTGATGTTTCTTTAGTGTGTTTTTAGAAATTTTAATTCTTAGTAAGTTTGTTTTGACCTTATAGTTGCTTTAAGTGATTTTTTTTTTTTTTTTTTTTTTTTTTTTAATGTTGGTCATTTGCTTCCCTACCTACCCTCCTTTAGACAGGGTCTGACTATGCAGTCCTGGCCTGGAACTCTGTAGATTAGGCTGCCCTGGAAATGCATAGAAGTCCACCTGGCTCTGCCTCCTTAGCCCTGGGATTAAAGATGTGAGCCAGTACGCCCAGCCTAAATTGTCATTTACATACGTTATTTTTATTTTACTCATTTGATGACTCACAGACATAATTTATTTTCTGATTGATTTTCCTTTATAGATTGAAGCTATTAAAAGTATTAGAGTTGATTTCTAGTTTAAAGAAACAATAGTCAGTTGAGTTATATCTAAAATTGTAGTTGGGTCTTTATAGATTTTTCTTATCTGATATAGCAAAAGTGCTTTTAATTGAGTCACCTTTATATTATGTAATAAAATTTCAAATGGATTTTTTTTTTTTTTTTTAGTTGTTAAAACCTATTTCAGGGAGATTGAGAGCCCAGTGGGAAATGGGCATTGTCCAAGCTGAGGAAGCTGCTAGCATGTCAGTAGAGGAGCGGAAAGCCAAATTTACCTTCCTCTATGTGGGGGACCAGCTACACCTTAACCCTCAAGTGGCTAAGGAGGCTGGCATTGCTACAGAGCCTTTGGGAGAAATGGTGGACTCTTCAGGGCCCAGTGAAGAAGCTACTGTAGACCCTGGGTCTGTGAGAGAAGAGGATATTCCCATGAAGAGAAGGCGAAGAGCCAAAAGATGTAGTTCTGCAGAGAACCAAGAGGGTGACCCTGGCGCGGAAAAGACTACCCTTCCAAAGATGGCAGATGCTGAACCTAAGAGAGGAGTGGGATCTCCTCCTGGAAGGAAGAAGTCCACAGCTTCTGCTCCACGGAGCAGGAAGGGAGACTCAGCATCCCAGTTTTTAGTCTTCTGTCAAAAACACAGGGATGAGGTAAGTATTTTGGTGGATTCTGCTACAGGTTTTCCAAAATTGAGGATCATCCCTTTAGTGCAGAATCCTCTATTTCTTCCTCCACTGCTTAACTCTATTTAGTTTTTAAATGTAACAGTTATTGTTGGAAACAGCGTTTGCACTCTTGGTTGCCACTATGTCTTTTCAAAGTAGATAAAAAGCACCAGCAGAAGTGGGAAGTGGTAGGAAATGGCCTCATTGGGCCGCCCTTTGCTGGAAGTTGGGCTACTCCTTGACATTCAGCTCTTGGTAGCATTTTCTTTTAACAAGCTGTTGTGAAGTGTTCAGCATGGGACGTACTCACTTATAAAGGTGGTGCATTTGTTATCACCGAGTATGATGACGGTTTATTTCTGTAATACTTAAAAGGATAGTATAGTCTGTATATAAATGAGTGAATCACTGCTTGGCTGTGGATTCCTAATAAGTTTTACTTACAGGGTTGTCTTAGTTTAATTTGGTTTCCATTTCCCTTTATTTTTAGTGTTAGGGATAAACTTTCAAAATTTTCAAATGTATAATCAATTATTTATTTATTCTGAATTTTATTTCTGGCAAAATTAATATTCTACTCTTAATTAAACATGATGTTAGTTTGTCTACTATTTCACTTATTTTCAGATATTTTGTCTGTCTTGCTTATATGAATTATATAAAATTTAATGTCTTTGCTAAGTTTTACTAGGTTGTGCCATTTTCATTCATGCCTACCATGACTAGGAATCTTTGCCACGTATCTGCCACTTGATGGTTTTCCATTTTAATGACTATATAGCTATACCATTACGTACACCTTGAATTGGAGAAGATAGAGATTTTACTTTTGCCTTTTTAGTTGTTTGTCTTATAGACAGTACAGCTGTGCCGATTTTGTGGTTCCTTTATCAGTATTGGCCATTCTGTATCCACTCCCCCTCGTCTATAAGCTGCCATTTTCCATTAGTTTTGGTTTCATTGGTGGTTGATAAACCATCATTAAACTTTGTATTACCTAAATGTTGTGTCCATTTCATTGGTTCCACACTTCTTTGTGTGAGGGAGCTAAGAGGTTTTGGGATGGGAATTATTGACATCTGAGCCAATATTTCTCTTTTCTATCGCCGATTTCCTCAGTGAGAGAAGGTGCAGACTCCTTTGCCACCATACCCTGGTCTTGGATGAATTCAGATAGGGACCAGTCCTACCGCTTCCTTCTGTGACTGAGCCTTTGAAGGACCCTGCTTTCCAGCAGATCCAGACCATCCTTGTAGGGGCCTTTATGACCACAGGGTGGTTGGCAGTGACTGAGTATAAGGTTCTCCACGCCTGGTAACGTGTCCAGATTTGTTTCTCAAAGAGAGAGAATATTTATTCTCCATGTATGGAAAGCGTTTATAATAGAAGCTCACAGGAAAATGTTGGTGGATTCCTTTTTGCTCTATGAAGAGTCCTCAGTTGTTGTGATATTTATAATTATATGTATATAAATACATATATATATAATTTTATGTTTATATAATTTATATTTATAATCATCTGATTCAGTATTGGTCAGGGTTGCATTCGTGGAGATGAACTTACTGGCAGTTGCAAAAGCTACTCTTTGTTCTGTCCCTATTGGAAATTGGCTGTCTTTTTAGTAACCTTGGAGAGGGTTTTTTATGATAATGTGTAAATATGGTGATTTCTTTAGTGTGCAAACATACCAGTTAGGAGCTGTATCTGAGTTTTGTTCCTGTGTGGTGAGATTAAAAGTGTGTGCTTGTTCATTATAATTCTAGAATTTTAAAAAGCAAATAACTTAGAGATCTGCCTGTTTCTGCTTGAATGAGCTGGGTGTGGTGGCGCACACGTTTGATCCCAGCACTTAGGGAGGCAGAAGCGGGCGAATCACTGTGAGGTCTACAAATCCCGTCCAGGACAGCCAAGGCTACACAGAGAAACCCTGTCTTGAAAAAACAAAACAAACCAAAACCAAAAAAGGCATGAGCTACCTTGCTCAAATATTTTATCTTTGCTCCAAATCACTCCAGCTCTTAGAGATCTAGAAAGCAAGTTTGAACTGTAGTAACCCTTTGAATCTACTTAAAACATTTAAAATCGCTTAATCATTTTTGCTACAAAACAACACAAATATCCATTTTATATAAGAAGAAAATTCAAAAGCTGATGTCCAAAATGGCGTGGGCCATGAGGCAATCTACAGTTTAACATTCCAACATGGAATTAAAACACATGGTTTAAGAAAACCCATTTTTTCATTTTATGACAGTAAGGCAAGTCTGCCTTTGGTAAATTATCATTTGAAAAAAAAAATTAAAATTTTTTTATGCCTGATGAAATAGAAGACATTTGTTAGTATTTATAAATTAATTTGGACTGAATGAGCAAACTGTCTCTCATTCATGGGGCCTCTCCTGTTAGAATATAGTCTTTATCGATTTTGATGTTATCCACAGCTTTTCTTCTTCTTTGGAAACAAAGGCAAAATCTCTTCCCCAACATAACACATGTCCCTGTTTCCGTTCTGAGGTCAACACATCTTTAAAATAATACAGGTTGATTTTTTTTTTCTACTATCCAATGTTTCTCCACAGCTGTTATGTCCTGCTTATGTACAACCTGAACTGTCTGTGACTGTTCTTGACAATACTTTTTTAATACTTTGCTTAGAAGCATTCTTTATATTTGATTTATTTCTGCGATTGGAAGAATGTTTATCTTTGTTTTTCATTACTGCGACAAATCATCTCTATAAATTCATGGCTGTATTAGCCACATATGGCTCTAGTGTTCTCTGGTCATTTATAGCAGTTCACCAAAATAGTTTTGTGGTCTCTCCTGCAATTTTTTACTCTGTTAAAACTGTTCTGTTATTGATTACATACAGAGCAGAGTTGTTTTTAATAACAAGCATTAATCTTTTAATTGCTCTATGTATGAGTTTCTCCAATGCTGACAGGAACGATTGAATCGAATTTGATATTGGGGCCTACAGGAGGTCCCCTCGGCCTTTTCCTGATGACAAAGGCTTACCTTGCCTTTTCCTTGTCGATCTGCATTCATTAGCACAGTGCCAGCCTTTGCCACACCTCCTGCATATTCCAGAAGGCTGGGACTTTTTGGATTATCTCTAGAAATAAACATTGTTTCTAGCAATGCCTTGCTAACAATCCCTTTTCAAATGACCTGGCTTACCACAATTAAAACATAGGACATTTTAATTTTTTTTAAAACTTTTAGAAATTACTTTTATCAGAGTAGCATAAATGTGAGATCTAAGATCGGTTGTATTTCTAATCCATTTATCTATTGGTGCTGATCTTGCTTTTAAAGGCCCAATCACCCTTTTGCATTCTGAGTTAGCATTTTTAAAAGCCAAAGATTCAATTAATATTTGTCTGACATCTGAGTAGGAATTCTAAATCTTCTATTTACAGCTGAAGTCAGTCTGCAAAAAAATCACCGAAGCTTTTTGGGCCTTGTATAATTTTAGTAAATGACTTAGACCCCTTTCCTGATTTTTCAACCTTGTCTTAAGCATTTTAAGCTGATAAATGACATAGCACCAAGAGAATTATCAAATTCAAGCTGCCTTTGTCACTCAACATATTGACCTTCGCCTAGCACCTGATCTTGGGAAGTATTAATACCTCTACCCCTATTTTGTTGTTCTATGTCCCTGGCTTCCTCTTTTTATCATGTTCACCATTGTAACTGAGGCCTAGCTTCCAATATTGCTGTTGCCAAATTTTTCCAGTTTTGGGGGGATAAATCTGTTCTGAGTTACCCATGAATTTAATATCTGCTTCATAAAGGATGAATGCATAACATATGAAGTGATTGCTTCCTTAATTCTTCTTAAATCTAATATGGCTATGATTCTATTTAACTTCTTCATAACATTGGGAGTCCCTATCTTCTGGTAGGATTTATATAGTAACCAGATAAACTAAGGTTGGTTTTCCTTAAACTCTTGGGCCATCCCTCTTTGGTTCCATCATGCAGTGGGCAGTAGGTTCTTGTCAAAATTTCTCTGTGTCTGAGTATTTTTCTCATTTTTATTCATATGTCTCATTTTACTTCTAAGGCTTATATCTTATCAATCCACTTTCCATATTTTTCTTTTTCCTGTATCTCTAAAGTGTTTTTCCTTTGAGAGAGTACAGAAAACTACTTTGACTATTAAGAATAAAATATAAAATACCAAAATGATAATCATAATTGGTATTGAGCCAGTTTCAGTTACGTCGTCATTTAGCTTAGCTTTTCCCTCTTTCTTTTTCTTTTTTCTTTTTTTTTTTTTAAGATTTATTTATTATATAAACAGTGTTCTACCTGCATGTGTGCCTGCACACCAGAGGAGGGCACCAGATCTCATTACAGATGGTTGTGAGCCATTCTGTGGTTGTGGGGAATTGAACTCAGGACCTTTGGAAGGACAACCAGTGCTCTTAACCTTTGATCCATCTCTCTAGCTCTGCTGCTTCTGTTTTCAAGCCATCTAAACTAGCAATGCCCAGGGTCCTAAAGCCTTCTATTATGGTATTTCTCATAACACTCCTTGAGTGACTTACCAAATTTGATGGTTCTCATTTTGTTTGCAGCTGGTGTGATTTCTTTGTCTGCATTGTCATGCCATGTGTTAGAGGACCAAATGTTGTTTTTAACAAAATCTCAAATGTTCAGTTTTACCAATAAACATTCAGGAGCCAGATACTGGGTAAAAGCATGCTAAATAATTCAGAGAGGCAGAGAAAGCACCTAGCTGACCTTCCTTCTCAGTCAACACCCCAAAAGAAGGAAAAGTCTGCTCCTTCTCCACACCATCTCAAAAAACCCTTAAACTGATATTCCTCCCTTCTACTTCCCGTGCATCTCCCTGTGTCCTCCTTACTTTCTCTGTTTTTTTTTTTTTTTTCTATATTCACTTCCTGTCAACTGTTTGCTTTCTCCATCCCTTGACCCATGGTTGACTTTATCTGCTAGTGCTGAGCCACACCACAACTAGAAACGGATTTTTCCAATAAACAATACAATCTCTGGGTTCACAGTGTGATTTAATGTCCTGCAACACCAGCCCTCAAGGAAAGGATTTCTTAAATAAGCCAAACTGACCACAGAATATAAAGGAACTGTTTTAAAGTGGAGATTTTTTTTTTTAACATGTTGAGGACTCCATACACAAAAAGTCATCAGCAAATCGTAAGGGACAAAATGGCAATTTACTGGTGTGCTTCAGTGAAAGATAAGTACATGAAGAGGTACTTATCCCACACATAGACAGGGACTTAAAAATTGAATTCATGCTGGCTCATTATTACATAATCATCAGGTGAGCAAATAGTGAACTTGAAGCTAGCTACTTGGGCTTACGAAGATGAGAAGAATAGCAATTCTTGCACAGTGTTGGTGGGGATTAAATACTTTATCATGCTTGTTTTAGAAGTTGGCAGTATCTGGTGTGCTTTGTTTCTGTTCTATAATTTCATGCCTAAGTATTTTAAGTAATTTCACCCTTGCGTTGAACCAAAGAAAAGCACAACAGTTTTCAACACTAAAAAAAGTTAGTGATAGTTCTGATCTGTTTCTGTAGCATATCATATACCAAAGTGAATTTATTGGTTGTTGTTGAAAAGGAAGCAAACTATAGAAAGCTATGTAGATCCTGTTGCTTCTCTAAAGTCTGAAGTATATTCCCTGTTTACTTGTATCTCACTATCTTGTCCAAAAAGAGCAAGTGGTCAGCTGAGGAGGGTGTGCCTCTGCCCAGGTACCAAGTATGCCCAGAGACGTGTTAACACCTAAGGACCCAGGGCTGGAGAGATGGCTCAGCAGTTAAGAGCATTGTCTGCTGTTCCAGAGTTTCTCAGTTCAATTCCCAGCAACCACATGGTCGTTCCCAACCATCTATAATGTGATCTGATGCCCTCTTCTGGCATGCGAGTATACATGCAGATAAAGTACCCAGTAGTATGTGATCAGTTATGACAGACCTGTGGAGAGGGTATGCTGATAAGGTTTCAATGGGTACCACCAGTACTTGTCAGCTTAGCCGAAACATAATCGATGAGGAGCTGTGTGCTCTTATTCTTTGGAAGTTGGGAAGGACTATGTCAAATAGGAACTCTAGTTAGTTGTATTTCAGCATGTTCTAGGCTATTTCTCTGCCATATAGCCACAGAAAAGTAGGTACTTGAGAAACTAGACTAATGCTTAGAGACCTCTTCTCCTCTTCCTTTTTCTTTCTAGAACCTAGATTCATTTGTTAGCCCCTATAGTGCTAAGAATTTTTAACTGAAAGCCTAGAGTGGCACCATGGTGAGAACAATGTAGACCAAGGTGAAGGTGTGCATTTAGAGTTCACTCAGATACTCATCAATCTCACTCCACTCAACACTTGGTCTTAGGCTGGATCTAAACACCATTGGCTTTCACTCCTGGGGTTATTGCCATCTACAGTTAAAGTTGGGGCTTACAGATCACTCATTACTGTGGACCTGAACTACCTACAAGACATGTGAAAATGCAAATTCCTTGCTGGTAGGTTTGGATAGGCCATTCTTAACATATTCCAAGGGTATTGATCCTCCATAACTGAAGAATTTGTTTTCTGTGTTGATCAGTTGTCTTTGTGTTTGCTTACCGTGGACAAAAATTGGGGCTTGCTTGTTGGTAGACTGTTATCTATATTTCTTGTCCATGACTTGAAATTAGAAGATGGCATATGACTATTACAGTTGGTGAAAATGACAAACCAAGACCTCCATGCTCAGAGGAACATTTTTGCACAGCTTGCCCTACTATTAATTTTTCAAGAAGGCCTAGAAAATTGTGACCTAACAAATGATTCAGTGATTTTTAGAAAAGTGCATGTTTTCTCATCGTCATTTATCAGTTATTTTTACTTAGAAATTTTTAGTGTGCCACTGCATTGGTTATGTGCTTTTTTTTTTTTTTTCTCGGGCAGTTCTAGGCTGTGGGAATAAAAATTCTACGTACTCAGTTCTAAAGGACCATGTATTTGATTTGCTGTAAATCACAATGAATTTTGTGAGTGCACAGGTCTTACTAACTTTTTTGTTTATAGGTTGTAGCTGAACACCCAGATGCCTCGGGGGAAGAGATAGAAGAATTGCTTGGGTCCCAGTGGAACATGCTTAATGAAAAGCAGAAAGCACGATATAATACAAAGTTTTCCCTAATGACCTCTGTCCAGGCTGAAGAAGACTCTGGTAAACATATACCTATACATAAGTCTTCTGTTTGGGTGTGATGTACAGTGTGGCCACATGACCAGTGTGTATGATCTCATCAGTGCCTCTTGTCATTTCCCCCCTTACTACCAATGCAGTTCCTTTTGATAGTCTACAGGACTCTTGCTTTATTGTTTACACAGAGTAGGGATTCTGGCTGCAGTGCTTGAAGGGGTCATGTACGAAAGAAAGGTAGGTAGGTAGTTCTGATTCTTGAGGCTTAATGGCATGGGTCAGGCCATTTTGCTTGAGAGTGTGCACAGTGATTGTTGACCTTCACTTGGTATGCCGTTTCTAGGCTTCCAGTTTAAAAACCTTAAAACATACTATAGTAAATATCAGTTGTGCTATGGCAAGATGAGAAAGATTTGGAGAAAAAGTTAACAGTCAAGTTTGTGCTGTGTAAGCACTTGGACATACAAGTTGTAAAGAAACCTGTTAATACAAAAATAAATTAATATGTTTGAAAGTTAAGTAAAAATACAACATGGTCTGTAATTTCTAAGATTCATTATTGAGTTTTGGAGATGCTTGCATAAAAGCCAAGGTGTCCTAGCTAGTCCTAGAATAGCTGCCAAGTTTTAGATTGTGACTGTGTGTGTGTGTGTGTGTGTGTGTGTGTGTGTGTGTGTGTAGCTACACACACTAGTAGCTCCTCTGCCCCTATGGACGTACTCATCTTGATTTAGGACTTGCTAGGTATCTTAATTACTTTTCTGCTTCTATGACAAAGCACCATGACCAAGGCAACTTATAGAAGAAAGAGTTTATTGGGAGCTTACAGTTTCAGAGGGTAATTCCACGATTATCATAGAGGTAATCATGACAGAAGGCTGGTAGACATGGTACTAGAGCAATAACTGAGAAGTACATCGTGATGTATAAGCATGAGACAGAGGGCCAACTGGGAATGGTAGGGGCTTTTGAAACTTCAAAGCCTATCCCCAGTAACAAACCTCCTTCAACAAGGCGGCACCTCCTAATCAGTCCTGACCTGTTCCACCTACTGGGAGTCAAGCATTCACATTCAAATATGTGAGCCGGTGGGAGTCATTCTCATCCAAACCACCATACTAGAGTTCTGTATCAGCTCATTATATTGATCTTGAATTTTATTTTGCTGTGTTTGTTTAAATGTTATAATTTAAAATAGCAAGGATGTTTAGAGTTCGTGAACTTTTTTTAAAATTCAGATTCAGTTGATGGTATACTAGTACACTAAGTCTTGAGTGATTTCTTTTCAATAGCTTGTATATCCAAAAGAGGTTAGCATTTCTGAAGTCAGGGTTAGCTTACCCTTACAATAAGTGTATTTGGGGTTGTAGTAAATAGATACATAATGGCAGGTTTTCACTCATACTGTGTGTCAAGTGAGTGCTATTCCTAAATGTCCTTGGATCATGACTTCCTACTGACTTTGGTATGGAAGATGTATGATTCTCATTGTTGAGTGTTAGGGAACTCAGATTTCTATAGAAAGAACTGTGTCTCATCCCAGGTAAGTGTTCTCTAGGTACTTACGGGAAAGAATCACAAAGACTCACCTTGTAGTGGAGTGCCTGCTGCTGGTCAGTACCTGGTGCTCAGTGCTCAGGGCTGTGAGTGCACACCAACATGGCACTCGAGGTGGCTGGGGAAGCTAGCTCCTGCTATCCTCAACTCTGTAGACAGACCTTTTTACCCAGCTTTTTGCCAGTCCATAGAGGTGTGGTCAGGATTAGAGCCTAGTAAAGATTTTGTTGGGCTTTGTTCATACTAGTCTAGGGCTAACTGTGACTGCTTGATTCCTCCAGTGGTAACTGGCGTCCCAGACCTGAGGAGCAGCTCCATGCAGTTGTTGGCATGCAAGGCATGGCACTTGGGCTTCCTCCTGAGTCTTCCTGGATGTTTGTGCTGTTTTCAAAAGAGTATTAGTTTGAGAGTGGCGGTGTTCTTAAGCAGTTTTCTAACTAGTGAGGCCTAGTGGCATACACTTGTAGTTCCAAATACCCAGGAGGCTGAAACAGGAGGATTGAAGGCACGTCTGTCCAATGTAGTGAAACTTTTTTTTTCAAAATAAATAGTAAAAAGATGTCTGGGGATTAATGTGTTCTGTCCTCAGTACTACACATATGTATCTACGAAAGGAAGTTTGATAAATAGAATCTGAACAGTTGTGCAAATGAAAATAATTTGTATTGATAATAAACATTGGCATATTTGAAGTGGTTGTCTCTCTAAATTTTTTTTCCTTCTATATCTTTCTAGGTCAGTAATATTTGAATACTTTATTGTAGATTAGTGATATTTTCAGGGACAACTAAAATAAGGTATGGTTAAACAAACATAACAGGAAGAGCTTAATTTTCAGCTGCAGATGTAACTTTGCTACTTAAAAACTTGTTATTTAAGCTGGGCACGCATTTCATCCCAGCACTTGGGAGGCAGAGGCAGCCGGATCTCTGGATTCAAGGCCTACAGAGTGAGTTCCAGGACAGCCAGAGCTACACAGAGAAACCCTGTCTCAACAAAAACAAACAAAAATAGTTAATTTATTTAAGAGAATATATGGTAGCAAGATGTACTTCTTATTTTTATTTTTTTAAAATTTTTAGATCTGTCTTATTTTATGTGTGAGTGTTTTGCCTGAATGTGTACATGTTCACACAGAGGCCAGAAGAAGGTATTGGAGCTCCTGAAATGAATTATAGTTGATTGTCAGCCATTATGTGGATTCTGGGACTAAAACTTAGGTCCACTGCAAGAACCATCTTTCCAGACCCAAAGTTGTAATTTTTTATAACTTGGCCAACATTCTACTTGTCTTTGCATGTCAGTAAATAAATGCTTCTTTTTCCTTACCCTGAGACAGTGTCTTGCTGCGTAGCCAAGGCTGGTATCAAACTCAAACTCTTCTCATGTAGTAATAAGCCTTCCTGTGTGCTGGGATTACCATGTCCAACCATAACAGAGTTTTTAAACAGACTAGGCTATACTTATATTTACTGTTATAGTATATTAAAAACACAACAGATACCAAGATAATAATTTTTAGGTAAATATTTGTGGGTTCCTAGTTCTTCTTTTCAAAGAGATTGGATTTGTAAAACATAGGCCTTGGACATGAGCCTGGTTGCTGAATACCTGTTACTGGTTTGCATGTTGAATGCCAGAGCAGCTTGTGGACTCTTTCTTGTGAATTTATTGCAATTCTCATTTTCCATTCCAAGGTAATATAAATGGGAAAAAAAGAAATCACACAAAGAGAACAGATGATCCTCCAGAGGATGTCGATGTTGAAGATGCACCCCGGAAAAGACTTAGGACAGATAAGCACAGTCTTCGGAAGGTAATATGCTGGGCTCTTCTGGCCTGTAAGGACATATGCTATAAAAGTCTTGAGACTCAGACAAGATATAGGCAGTGGGGTCTTCTGGGCTGTTGTCATAGTGGCATTCAGTAGTAAGGCTTATCCTTTTCTACATTGAAAAGGCCATTGAAGAAAGGACATGATCATTAACAATTAGGAACATCAGCAGAAGAACTATTGGTATAAGCTTGTTTAATGAAACAGTGTCCAAATACTTTGAGTAATACATGTTTGTTTGTTTGTTTGTTTTTTAATGTGTTAAAAAATGACTGTTAGGGTTGAAGGGCAAAGGTCAGTGCTAGAATGCTCAAGTAGCATGAGCCTCACATTCAGTTTCATTGCCAGTACATGGTATAATGTTTTGTCTGTTGGCTATTATTATTTAGTGTGTAAATGAGGTACGTGAAAATCTATTACAGGTATTTTTCACTGTAAAAGGAAGTTAAAGAATCTGTGATAAATACTGGGAATGAATTATATAGATTATATAAATTATATAAATTTGTTAATAATTCATTATTTTATTTATTCATTGGGAACCCAATGTGGGCAGCATTGTGGTAAAAAGGAAACTACAGCATTGATTAAAAGTCAGCCCAGGGTCTTGAGCCTCAGTTTTGCCAGTATCTGTTAGGACAACCTACCTAGTACCTGAAGGGAGCGAAATTGGCCAAGATATATGTGTGCAAAACGACAGTGGATTATTGTATCTGTCATATGAAGTCGCAGGTAGAGAGAGTGAGCCTTTTAACACCATTTGTTTAAACTGTCTGTGATATATTTAGTTAACTTTATGGTAAATTCAGTTTAATTAGGCTTTGTACTATATATTTAAATTTATATTTTGCAGGAGTTCTGTCATAGTAGTTATGTATATTTATGATTTTGAGTAAAGCTTGATAATTTACTGACCAAGTTGCCTTTTTTTTTTTCTAATTTTAAAGAGTAGAAAATCTTACATTGATGAAGTGTAAACTATATTATTTATCTTTAAGGCTCTGCTTAGTGTAGTGTGAAATAGACAGGTTTTGTAGCATTTTCCTGCGGAATAAAGTGTTATTCGGAGTCATTAGCCGTCATGCGCCATATGTGGTAGTGAAGTGTTACTGTGAGTTACTGGAGTGTAAAGGTACCAGGAAGTGCGTACTCACAGAAGCCCTTTAAATACGGTGGTCAGAGTGTTCGAAATAGTACAATTCATATTAGTCTTAATTTTATATTAAATAAACAGATCAGAAAAGAGCACGTTTTGAAAGTATTGCTGTCTGTCCTAGTTTCAGTACTTGAAAAGCAGAGGCAGACAGATACCTAGTTTCAGGCCAGTTAGGCATACATAATGAAGTCCTGTCTTAGAAAGTAGTGTTGTCTCCCTGGTCTGCTTTTTATAAATCTAAGTCATATTAATATACAGTTCCCAATATGTATTGATTACGTTTGATGAACCAGCAGCATTCAGAAAGCTAAACAGAATTTATGTGACTACTCTCAGTGGACTTTTATTTTATCTGCCCTGGCTTTATAGATGTCAGTGAATGAGGTCTGAGATCTGACACCTATGTAAGGCCCCTGTCTCCTGGAGTGGCATTGTCACCATGGGGCAGGATTGTTCCTGTGCTGTTGAAGCATGGTTCTTGTTTGTTTGGTTTGGTTTTTGTTGTTGTTTGAGATAGGGCTTCTTGTAGTCCAGGCTGGTTGAGACTTTTTTGTAGCCTAGGCTGGCCTTCTAATTCCCAGTCGTCCTGCCTCTGACCTCTAGAGTGCTGGGGTTATAGCGTGTGCCACTGTACCTTGTTGAGGACAGTTTGAACTGTTTTTCTTTATTTTTTTATTTTTAATATTTTATTTATTTGAGACATAGTCTAATAATGTAGCCTTGGCTGACTTGGAGCTTTCTATGTATTCCAGGCTGGCCTCAAATTCACAGGGATGCACCTACCTTGGTTTTCCGAGTGGTGGGATTTAAAGACGTGTGCCACCACATCTGTATTGAACTACATTTTTCAAACTCTCAGCACAGAATATTCTTGTGACTATTATGATAGTAAACCTTTATTTTTATTTTATTTTTTTCTGAGACAGGGTTTCTCACTATGTGGCCCAGGCTGGCCTCAAACTGACAGAGATCCTTACCACCATGCCCAGAGTTTTCTTTTCTTTTCCTTTTATTTTTTAAAACTAGGAATTGAATCCAAGGTTACATGTTCTACATATGTTCTACAACTATAGCTAGTTCCTTTTTATTTCGAATCTTTATTTTTTAATGATATATTTTTTTAAGATTTATTTATTATGCATACAATGTTCTGTCTTCACAAGGGCACCAGATCTCATTATAGATGGTTGTGAGCCACCATGTGGTTGCTGGGAATTGAACTCAGGACCTCTGGAAGAGCAGTCAGTGTTCTTAACCTCTGAGCCATCTCTCCAGACTGATACTTTATTTTTATTCATGTATGTACATGCCTATTTGTGTAAGTGTATTCTATGGAAGCCCAAAAAGAGGTTTGAGTGTTTTGGAGCTCAAGTTCCATATGGTTATGAGTTGTAAGACAAGGGTGCTGAGATACAAACTTAGGTCCTCTGAAAGAACATCAAGTGCCATCTCTTCGGCTCTAATTTTTCACTTTTAAAATAGTATCTTGTTAGGTTGTCTAGCCTGGTCTTGTACTCACTCAGTAACCCAGGCAAGACTTGAGTTTGTGATCCTCCTTCCTCAGTCTCCCAAGTAGTTAAAATTACACACCTGTGACCACTGGCTTAATATTTTTGAAACTCTTCCCTTAACTTTTAGTTGTGAAAGGTGTTTTATTTATGTTCTCTATGAGATAAGTAAGGAATTTGTCTCAAATTTGGAAACCCCCAATGTGGTAGCATTGTCAGTTACATTAGTAATACTGGCATTGACAGAGCAGGGATGACTTCAGTTTGATTGGGCCTCTTGAATAGAAAACTAGATTTCCTCTTATTTTTCATTTTGTTTTGGTTTCAGTGGGAAGTTTGGGTAGCACATGAAATATAAGTTATGTCAGCAGATACTGGCACAGCCCTGCCCACTCTACCCTTCTGAAAACAGTTTCTAGAGCAGGAAGTAAGAAAAGAATCAGTTTAGGGTATTTAAAAAAGTCAGTTTGGGCAACTGTGGTCCTCTTGAGTGTGAGGAACACATTTCCAAAGGAAAAATTTTCTATTGTGTAAATTTTCAGCAGCCTGTGTTCATTCACATTAGGAGAATTTTTTCCTTTGTTTTCTTTCTCTTTGTCTGCCCTCCCCCCCCTTTTTTTAAATAACAGAGAGAGACAATCACCGACAAAACGGCCCGAACAAGCTCTTACAAGGCCATAGAGGCAGCCTCCTCGCTCAAGAGCCAGGCAGGTAATGTGGTCAGGCTCCTTCCTGGCTCCTCTGGGTGCCTGGGCGGGTGAGCAGGGCGTCCTGGTCCTGCTCTTGGGGAGCCTCTAGCGTGGGCATCTGAGAGCAACAGGAAAGTGAGAGCAGGACTGGGCAGGAGGGATCTAGGGATGCCTCAGAAGAATCAGTAGTTAAGCTCGTATCAAAATCATGTGGGGAAAAAAAGATCTTGTGGAATTGAAAAATAACTGATTTAATGTGTAAATTGTAAGGATTCAGTCATTGAAATTTTTTACTGATTTTCACTTGACTTCATTATTTTTCAATTTGAAATTTTATCAGAAGAGAAATTTATACCAGAAGTACTTGTTACCATAAATTCTGCCATTCTGATTTAGGCTCCTGATGGTTCATACTTACCAGCCAGTAGTAAAAGTCATGACTAGTTATTTTTATTTCATATGATAAAGAAATCAGTTTAAAGAACTTTCTGTGAAAAACAGCTTAGTTAAGCAATAAAAAGGAAAAGCCAGATCCTTTGACCTATTTGTGAGTGATGCTGTGGAGACAGGAGAACCTGTCCGATAGATTTAGCACAGAAGCTCACCATCTCCAACGGTTGGAGACTGTTTTCTTTGTGCTGCACAAGATGATCAGGTTTTTAAAAATCAGCTATTTTTTAAACAAGCATCTGTGAATGATTGGAAATTTGAACATAGGATCACTGTTTTTAAATATGGAAGTGGTATTGTTGTATTAAAATTTTTATTTTAGAGTTATACTCTAGGCTTTTTATGCATGAAATTATGTGTAGAGTTTGCATCAGATAATTCTCCCAGGGGCCGTGGATCCAGGTGTGGATGGAGCTGCACTGGCCATGGGTTGTTGGTTTGTGGGTGGTGGGATGTGGGATTCGTTGTATAATTTACCTGCCTTTTCTTTTTTTAAAACAGTTTTCCGTGATAAAAAGCTAAGCCCTTAGTGCCAACTAAGGAAACCAGAAGATTTATCTTTAGGATTTTACTGATTGAGGGGTTATTTTAAAGCAATAAGGAGGCAGGAGATTTTGAACTTCAGCTGGGCGGTGGTGGCATACACCTTTAATCCTAGAACTCAGGGAGGCAGAGGCAAGCAGATCACTGTAGTTGGAGGCCAGCCTGGTCTACAGAGTGAGTCCAGGACAGCCAAGGCTACACACAGAAATCCTGTCTTGGAGGGGAAAAAAAAAAAAAAGATTTTAAATTTTATAAAATAAACTTATTTTACAGCAACGAAAAATCTGTCTGATGCTTGCAAACCACTGAAGAAGCGAAATCGGGCTTCTGCAACAGCATCTTCAGCACTTGGGTTTAGCAAAAGTTCATCTCCTTCTGCATCCTTAACTGAGAATGAGGTAAAATAATGATGATAGTGATACCATGGCATTCATATGAAGGCCATTATTTACTGAAGCTGCAATGGGAGTGAAATCCTACTTTAAAAGAATTATATTGGTGTTCTCCTTAGGTATAGATGAGTTTTCAGGTGTTCTTAGCCATCTAAAATTCACAAAACTGAAAAAATAGTGCACTAATTTAGTCTGAGCTCTTTGAATATAAATACATACACGCACATGGTGAATGTGTAAGTGTACATGCATACTTCAGTCTTATTGCCGAGTAATTGTTGTTGCAATCTGTTTTAAAATGGTGTGTTCTGTAAACCTAACTCTTGTTTTCTCACATGAAGGGAAATTCACACTGGTTCTATCAGGACATGCTATGCTGACATTGGCAGCTGTGCACCCACACTGGTGGAATGAAGGGGCTCACAAGCCTGTGGGGAAGCCAAAAGTTTGTTGGTCCTCATGCATTGTGTGTCTCTGGTCTTTTGTTCTGGCATGTCTCAGATGAGAGTGTGGAGGCAAGTTAGAACTATCACTATACTTAACGATTTCTTATAATGTCTTGTGTTTCTGGTCTTAGAAAAATATGATAGCAGAGAAGAAAAGTGGTATTATAACAGGCTGCTGCTGCCATCACCATAACGTGGCATGTAGATGGTGTTACCAAATCTAAAGTCTTTCTTTTTTTTTTTGGTAGTACAGAGGTAGTTTAATTTCTTGATTCTAGTGACTGCCTTTATTGTTCTTACTTTCCATTTTTAATTTCTTGTTATTTTGATCTCTGTAGTTTTTTTTTTTCTTTTTTCTTATTGTAAACTGGAGATTTATTTTCACAGTTTTTATAAGGAGTTGATAACCTTGGTCTTCATTAACAGGATAGTGAAATGGGAACTAGACAGGCCCCTTTCTCCAATTGGATCAAAAGCAGCACTTCTGGTCTGGCCTCTGCCATGGCCCTTAGTAGGGTTGGGTGTGTCCTTGCTGTTTCTTTCTAGTAGTGGATTGCTGGGCCTTCCCTTGCACAATGGTCAGGGACCTGGATGACCTGAGGAACACCCTGGAGAACTCTGTTGCTCACTGGTCTAAACCTGGAGTGTGGTGTGAATCTAGATTGTTCATTTCGTAGGATCTCAGTCACATAGACTAGCTCAGTCATAATCTCATGTGCTCATACTCACGGGACTGGGGCTTGCTTCTGGTTGTTATGTGTAGAAAACTAAGCATTTCTTATATTTGTATACATTCACTTCGTTGCTGAGCTTCTAAAATGTTACTGAAATACAAAAGGGTAGTTTTATATAAAGTACTTTCCATTTTTCCTCTCTTACCCATATTTAGATTAGCATTTTAGAAAATTAAAGATGGTCTACAGTTCCAGTTAACCATACAGTTCCAGGCAATAAAGTTGGACTTTTCATTAATGATTTTTTTTTTTTTTTTTGAGTGCTAGGGTTGAAACCCAGGGATTTGTGAGTCTAGGCAAGTGTTCTATTATTGAGTTACTTTCTAGCTGTATACAAGCTTTAAGTTTTTCTTGATTCACATTTTGATCTGTTTATCCAGTTGGCACTTTACATATGCTGTTGGATATGGGAGAGAAAAAAACATTCAGTTACTGAACTTGTATCCATTATTCTTGATCATCAGTATTGGATGTTGAAGGTGCAAACAGTGAGGATGAACATAGAACAGCAGCTGGTGCCATCTCTGCCCTGGTGCCATGTTTGCCTTAGTAGTTTGAGCATGGCAAGACTAAGATTTTGTAAAAAGACCTAAGTTACAACATCAGAGGTTGATAGATGATTTTTTTTGGATAGATGATTTAAGTACATTTTTATTATGTATGCAATGTGTTGAATTTATATCCCTTCTTATGTTTTGAAGGTGACACATAAATCTCACAGTATCATTATGTTCATTAAATAAAATAGTTCAAATTTCTAGGCCTTCTCTATTAGGCTACTTGTGTGGCTTTATGAATATTCCTTTATAGCTTATTTTATAGAGTTGCACTGTTAATGTAAAAACTTTAGGTGAACAAGTAGATTTATCTAGTATACATCAGCACTGCTGAAGAGTTGTACAGTTCTAAGTGCTTGGTAACACATGAGCTGTGGAGACTGTTGAGTCTGGTTCTGATGTGAAAATTACTGTTTGGGGTCACACTGCCTCCTCACTGTGGGACACTTACGTTTGCATGTTTATGTTTTCTTCCCTTCACCACATTTTATTGAAAGAAAGAGGATTATGTAGGGTTGGTATTACAAGACATTTTAGGACATGTTGTAGTTTAAGTTCTTGAAAAATGTGTATGATAAATTTATATTGGAATAATTATGAATAACATGGTATTACATCACCCCAATGAAGAGATTAAAATGACACACTTGCATGACAAAGGCCTGTGAAGGAATTGATGTGATTTAAGTGTTTTGTAACTTCATTTTTTGTTCCCTTAGTAGAGCAAATTCTTATTTTTTTCGCCTTCACTGGTAACAGCTTTTATGGGAGCCCACATCAGTCAAGTTGGACTTGAACTCAGCCGCCCTGTACTGCACTTAGAATGGTGTAATACCCCAAGATGTCTGCTGCAGGTGGTGCATCATCGTATACACTAAGTGACATTTCTATCACAATCATTTTATGGAAGATGTGTGATAATCTGTTTTTACTGGTATTAATAAACACATACAATGAAGAAAACAGATAACAAATTTTAAGACCAAGGTAAGATACCCAATCAAGGCCATTTAATCAATCACATTCATCTCATAATAGAAACACATTCATATTCTAATGATCAGTCTAAATTTGAAGTTGAGGAAACCCTTCAATTGAGGCTATCCCAGAGCTCTGACAGTGGCACCATATTGAAGGGATTATCCTGTTAAGGCTCACTTTTTCCTCTAATTCATATAACTTACTGAATTTTTATGGAAAAATGTCAGCATCCGTTCCATCCGTAAGAAAGAACAAGCAGGACACATTAAGGGTCTTTTGTCAGATATTTTCATTGTTAATGAAATGTATTAGTATTGTAGATATTAAACCAGTTTTCCCACATTAAAGGCAGGAAGAGTTTTGATTCTGTCCTTTTTTACTTGACAGTTTTACTATGACACTAGACACAGTAGATTTTTAGGGAAAAAAATACCATTTCCAGTATCATTGTGAACCATTCAACTCTTGATCCAGTCACTAATATTGAGAAGATACCATAATCAGGTTATTATGGCAACAACCACATCACCAGTTGCTTTATAGAACATCAGCATCATGTTTTAAACGTTGTGGTCCTGGATGCCCAGCTGGAGCATACCTAGGTGCCCGCATGTTTGCATGGGAGGAAAGGCTCCACTTGCCCTCAGCTCAAGAAACAGAGTTTGTGCACGGGGTGTGTGAATGGTACCCAGGCCGTTCCGCACAGACACCTCAGTGTTGGACCTGTGATGAAAGTTTCTGAGAAGTACTTTTGTTCAAAACCATTAAGTAATGTAACGCATGTAAAACACGTACAGTGCCTGGCACCTTGCAAGGACTCAGTGGTTCACTATTGTGACAGTAATGGTTATTACAATAAAAATAACAAAAATCACCATCATTCCATTTTTATCCAAAAGTATAAATTTTGCTTTGGCATGAAAAATGATCCTCTTGACTGCATCGTGCATGTGCGGATAAAATAAATCCAGGTGTAGCAGAACCCTAGCTCTGTTTGTGTGACACAGTAGGTATTAGACTATGAGGCTACAGTCTCGTAGGTTACTCAGCTGGCTCTGCTCAAATGTAATGAGAGACATAACCTCAGAGAATACCTAATGGAAGCATTCTAAGTTGTACTGTTCTTAAAGGACATGAAAGATCTCAGGTAATTTAAAAATAGAAATCACACAATTAAAAAGTACGCGAAGAAATATGATGGTGTAGAAATGGCCCTGGTTCAAGAAGTGGTTTCTCACAAGTAAAGATACTATCCTGAAAGGTCTTGAGCAAAAATGAAGGGATTTCATTTGAAATGAGAGCATGATGAATTTTGAGTGAGTGCCCAGGAAGTAGCTGGAGGACAGACTCTGTGCTCTGTGGTGGGAAAGTGAGGACTTCAGAACCAGTGGTGACAACCGCAGAGTAGCACAGTTAGTACCTGCTGAGTTCAGAGAATAAAAGGGGAACAAGAGTGGGCATCTTGGAATATTCATCAGCTGGGGAAGACATAACCACCTTGGGGCAAGGGTGGGAGCAGGGTTCTTAGCAGTCTTCAGTGAGTGCAGAGTGTAGGTTTTCCTGCCCCAGAGACTAGTGGTGGTCTCACAGCAAATAAGCAGAGTTCCATGTCAGCTCTTAGCTGAACTCTCCTCAAGGAGGTGTGTAGAAAAGAGACTCTTGTTTAAATCAGTCCAGCAAGAAGCAATAGCTTGTCTGCTGAAAGTACAAAAATTATGTGACAAATTTATTATGCTACAAATTTAACATGGAATTCCTTCATTTTCTATAAAAATGTCTAAAAAAAAGCATTGCTACCTCTCTAGTCTTAGGTCTTTTGAACTGTCCGCTGTTTAGATGAGTTTTGCTTCTGCCACACAAAGAATTATTACCATTTGATCCTATTTGATCTTCCTTCAGAACCACTGTTTGTTCTACATTTGCCTGCAAGGGGAGGTAGCTTTCTTTATAAAACTCAGAGTCTAAAGAGTTGAAGACTTGTGTGAATGTACAAAGGTTTGGATTGTAGCTGTTCCCACAGAGCAGCACCCCAGGGAGCACATGGCCTGGATAAAGACCTGTGCCAGCAGCCAGGTCCTTCGGGTGCTACTCAGCCCTCTCTGTTTGGAAGGACTTCTCCCTCCCTAGCGGCTTTTCTTCAAGGTTGATGAAAGTGAATGTTGTCCTTTTGGTCATGATGCCTTTAACTGTAGTTGTAGCTCAAAACTTTCTTCAGTATTCATATCTATTTACATCTGTTTCCTAACAGAAGACAACTTCAATATTTTTAAGAGGATGTCCTGAAAACCAACAAGAAATCTAAGCATGACAAGGAAATAAAATACCATAAGATCTAAGAGGAAAGGGTCCTTGCTCCATGCATGAGGGCATCCATTCTGTCCACTGCCTCTGAAGAGGTGTAGAGCAGCCTGCTTCTGGCATGGGATGGAAGGCTTTTTAAGTTGGTCTCAGCCAAGTTATATCTAATTCTGGGATTAGTTGAGATAGTTCATGCAAAAGCACCAGAAAACTTAAAACAGGGTTCTCTGGAGCTAGAAGCCAGATGAGGGACAGGACCTTTTCATAAATGAGAGAATATGTCACAAGTAAATAGCAACAAAACCTAACTTGGCAATGATGTGTCTGTGACTCTATGTACTCATCATAGGGTTGAATCTGGAGCCTGTGGGCTGCCTAGATGGTATTGGTGACTAGCACCAATTAAGAGTTTATAACATAAATGCCATATAAGAAAGAAATAAAGATCTTAAGTAAAAATCTCATTTCTCAAAGAAAAAATGATGCCTATGATTTTATAAAATTTAAATGATTAAAGAAAGAGTGCTCCTGAGAAAGGATCTCATAGCCTGGAGTGTGAGGCCTGATCTGGATTTAGTTCTGTCTGTCCTTCAGCACTGGTGTATATTCTATATAAGCTCCTAGTTCACTCAGCTCACTTGAGTAGAATGGGGAACCCTGAGTGAGTGGTTCTTTGCTGACCTCAGTTGTTTTTTGTGGGCCTGAGATGCCCTATGGGGTCATAGCTCCTTTTAGGAAATGTTTGTCCAATGGCAGGTGAACCGTAGGGTCATTAACACTTAGTAAGTTTGTTTTCTTTCTCTGTCACTGATTCTAAGGTACTGTCTGTCTCACATGTATTCAAACATACAGGTTGCTGATCACCTGCTGTTCAAGTGGACTCTTAGGGACCCAAAGGCCCTTTGGATTGTTAAGTGTGCAGCACCTTTTTTAGCATCAGTAAACCCATTATTCCAGTTTTTGAAAAGTTAATTAACAAGGACTGCATTTTATCTTTTAGATGATGAAATCCAAATTGCCTTTTGCTATGGTAAAGCAGAAGGGCTTTCCTAACATGCTTTCAGAGCTTTTATTACTTCTTATTGATAATTATTTAGAAAGCTTTTTTTGGGTTTTGTTTTTGTTTTAAGAAACATTGATTCCTGTATATTTCAGCATTTTTTGGTGACTGAGATTGACTTTGCTCCCTTTAGGTACTGTTTTTATTGTTTTGCTTAGACTATTAGGATTTTTTTCCCTGTTTTTCCTGCCAGTGATGAAAAATGGTCATCTTTAGTATACACGAAAAGTATGTTTGCATTTTTCCTTGTTGAGGAAGGGTAAGGGATGTGCTCTCTGGGGCCTAAATATCAAGGATGTACTCCCAGCAACCTCATGTGTCTCATCTTGTCAGAGTCCTGTGTGCTACATCCACATCCGTATATTTTTTCCTAGCCTCTTAGTTGTTCAGCATTTAACATATAACTCTGGCAGTATGTTGAACATGATAGCATTTTAGGAGTACTTTGCTTTTACAAAACCACTGGGATAGTGAAGTCCTAGTTTTCCTACAGGGACATTGACAGTCACATGAGCTAAGGAAACAGATAGGCTGGAGGGTCTTCTGTTTTCAAGCCCTCCAGGTGAGGACACATGGCCTGTTGCTGCAGCTGGCTGGACTGTGCCTCTGCAACCTACTCCCAAGGGCTCGCTGCTTCTGAGGACACAGCTGGAACATGGTTGAGTCAATAGAACATTTAGAGACTCACGTAATTTTGGAGAAGGGCATACCTTTATGGGAGTATTAGCCATATGGCTAAATGGCGACAGCTCTCACTTGGTCTTTCCTGTCCTCTTAGGCTAACATTATAGAATCTGGCAGAGATTAGGTGACTATGAAGCACAATGACATTCTGTGGACTAAAGGGGTTTTTTTGTTGTTGTTGTTGTTTTGTATTTTTTTCTCTTTCATGCCCTCAGTAACTCATACCTGGCTTTAAATTAGGAATAGCTGGGAGGATTTTAATCTGTACAAACTTTAATAAAAATTATTTTGAATTTTGGGATTTTAGAATGATTGACTTAATTTTAAATTGTCTTAATTCCACTCTTAATACTTCACTGTGATGTTAACTTGGAAGACCTGGTTGAGATTAGTCTTTTAATTTTAGATCATTATATCTACTGAGCACAGGATTCTTATCATTTGTAAATCTAAACCGTCTGTGAACGCACTTCTATACTTCTTCCTTTATGAAAGCATAACTTAAACATGAAAATAATGTTGGTTATAGAAATATTTATTGTTCAAGGTCTGTAATTGTATTTTAAAATGATGTAGTATTCAACTTGTGAAGGGATTTGTTTTGTCAAAAAATTAAAAACTCAATGTGTATCAGCCCACAGAAGGGCAGGGGTCTTACTTTGTGGCCACAGTGGGGTAATTTCAGTTGCATTCTTTGAGCCTTCCTGATGGCCACATAGCTCCTGGCAGTGGGTTGGAAGATGTCTACTGGGTCACATGATGTTTGGTAATGCCATCTTCAAAGTCCCTGTAATAGATGGAGACTGCACTTCCTGCTTCTGGAGGAATGTGTATCTAAGGCAGGTAGGCAACTTCGTACTATCACATACTGAGTAGAGAGTGGAGAAAGTATTTTCAGACTCAAGACAACTTTGTAAAGTCAGGAACTAAGCTGCTTGGAAATCAGTGCTACAAGCCTGACCTTGGTGGACACAGGAAGCCACAGGAAAATTCTTGACAGTCTGTGTCCCATCAATCACTGCATTTTTCTTTTTCCAAATACATCCTGTTGGATATTGAATAGATCATAGATGTTGTAGACTGAGATCTGGGACTATGTTGGGACCATACAGGTGATATGGCACTTCCACAAATGGCATCTCCAAGTAAGCTGTCACCTGGTACACATGGAGGTGGAGCCTGCAGCTGGAGTGAGGCGCACACTTGGCTCTACTTGCAGGTGGTTTGCTGTGCAGAGAGCTGAGGGACCCTCTTGACTGGGTAGGGGTTTCGTCCATCTGTGGGGGAGGATGTGGTTGGTGAAGGCGGACCTTCTACAATCTGTCATGGACTGTGATATTGTAAGGTCTATATTCTGTATGTGGATAACAGACCCAATTAGGAAACGAGCCTTATGTGTGTCGTTAACATTTATATTTCCATTCAAAATATGTATTCGGTGTTTATTTCCTCAAACAGACTTTGTTAATTTAGGAAATATCTCCAAGTGGAAACGTGCTAACTTTCTGTAAATCTTAAATAAAAGGTGCTGTTCCTTCCTCTGACCCAGGACTGGTTTGTGTTTTCTGTCTTTCTTTCCATTTCTTTCTCTTTTTATAGCTTCTAAATTTGTTTCATCCACACTGAGGGAAGAAGTGGGTTGGTGGATGGAGCATGGGCTCTTTTCATGGATGCTGTGCCAAACATCCTTTCGGTCTCAGTGCCTTCATTAGTCAGATGGGCCAGCCTTGTGGCTATGGGAGCTATGCGGCCACTGATTCCTGAGGCCCTGGGCTTCCCTAGGCCTTACTCATCTCATCTCAGACGTGCTCAGATTCCACCTGTGAGCCTCATAGCTGATGGACATACTAAATTTGGAGTTTGAATTCTGAGCATTTCAAATTGCCTCTTTCTGGATATTGATGTTAAAGAAGTGGGAGGTGAGCTGATGGGCGAGGGATTGGCAGTGGGCCCTATAGTTCCAGCTAGTCAGCCTCCTATTTGACAGACCTTATGATGTGACACTAATCTAGTGTTCTTCATGCTTTTTCCATCTGCCCGCAAAAGGTGAGAAAATTATATTAAAAGGCCTTCCCCCCTTCATTACATTCTTGTTGCTAGATTTGTCTAGTAAGACTAGAACGGGATCACACAAAGCCTGTCTGTTGCTCCAGTGGCTCATCAGAGCCACAGGAGTCCTTGGTAATTTATCCCACTTTAACAGGAGTGGAAATCAGAAACATGCCTGTTTTTCTCATTGCTCCCAATAATTTCACTGAGATAAATCTGGGGAAAGCTCATCAGTAAGGCTGCAGAATCAATGGGCCAGAGTCCCTGGTGAGTTTGTTTTTGTTTTTTAATATGGCCTCATTACAATGTCTAGCTTTGTGTTCACTGGCAAATAGCAAGCCTGTAGCATAATTACTTGTGGTTATTGAAGTAAACAAGAAACATAGTTAATACTTCTTTTTGCTTTGTTTTAGCTCAAAAATCCAGTTCTCAACACTTACTAAGATCAATAACACTTAACTAAGATCATTTAAGCACTTGAATTTGATAGATGAAGGATTTTGTTTTACCCATTTAAATGTTTATTGCTAGCACTTTTCAAGTGAGGACAGGATGGTTTGTGTAGCAAGGATGAGCTTGTAGCTAGATCATAACCTCTATTCAGTGGAAGGAATCCAGTAAAAATAGGGGCTTTCATCTGCACACACACACTGCATTTCTCCTGTCTGTTCCAGTGCTAACAAGACAGGGAGAAAGTATTCTTTGCCTTTCTCTGAGGCAGAGTAAATGAGCTGGGGCAAATTAGCAGTGAGGGGAGAGACAAGGCAGTAAGGCCGCAGTGCGAGTCGGTGACTCTGCTGATCAGCTTCAGCAGTGCAGCCTGCTTCTGGAAAGAAGAGCAGTGTCCTCCTCAGTAGAGTGAAATACACTTGTCTTTTTCACAACTTCACCGTTTTTTTTTTTTTTCTTTCTTTTTTTTAATTCATGTGTTATTTGGGTCTGAACACACTGTGTGAGAAAGGGCAAGAATATTAATCTCAGAACTCAGTTTACTTAGCAGAGTTAATAGGATTTTCACAAGTTGCTCTATTTAAAGGAATACATCTTATGTACATTTGTATATTAAATATTGAGTAGAATAAGGTCCAGTTCTGAAGTTTTCTATGCAGCTTTTACAAGTTTTGTTACTTCCAAGCCAGTAATAATGTGTATCCACACCACATCACTGGATGGTAGGGCAGGAAGTGGGCTGTGTCCAAAGGATACAGCCACCTTTTTTCTGTGGCTAGTGAACTGTCGTCCACCTCCTTCATCTTCAGGTCTCAGACAGCCCAGGAGATGAACCTTCAGAGTCTCCGTATGAAAGTGCAGATGAAACACAGACCGAAGCATCCATCTCATCTAAAAAGTCTGAAAGAGGAGTAGCTGCCAAAAAGGAGTACGTGTGTCAGGTGAGGGGTAGGCGATGCCTAATGTATTGGTGAAGTCCAGGACAGCAGAGTGAGTTTCCAGCATCATCTTTTCCCAGATTTCTCTTTTGCCCCGTTACTACTCAGGGATACCTCTTTGGAAGAGTTAGACTGCCATCACAATTCTGGTATTAAGCTGCCTAACTTAACATTATGTAGTACTCTCAGATGGGACATGTTTCATGTACAGCACCGTTGCTGTTTATTTAGTTCATTGGATAGGACAGTCATGGGCTAGGATGGTGTGACCGGACCTAAATCCCTACAGTGGTATTGCCTGGGTCAGTATCCTACCTGTGCTGGACGTTGGGTTGGTGATTTTAAGAAAGCAACTCACCTTTTTGTGCCTTAGTCCCCGCACCATTGTGAGGTGCAGTCGGTGGCTGTTGGTGTGGGACTGCGGATTTCTCTGTTCATAGTTGGAAAATGGCTGACAGTTGGCTCCATTGCTGCCAACGGTGGAAGGATGGCTGGTTTATGATGAAAATATGCTATGGGTCTTGGGGTTTTGTTTAGTTTCCTTTGTTTTTGACATTCACATCTGATCTAAAACATCTGGAATGAATCCTTCAGGGTTTTGGTCTTTTGTTTCCTTAGCCCTTGCTGAGAGACTAACTAACATTTTTATGTAACTTAAACTGGCTGCAGTCTGGGATCCTGCTGGGCGTCTCACTGTGTGGTTGTGTTCATTTGCATGCCACGGTTGAAATCAAATTGTCACCGGTGGTGAGGATAAGGCCAGCTGGGTGTGGGCTCATGCTGCCCTCTGTTCCCCACAGTTGTGTGAGAAGACAGGCAGTCTCTTGTTGTGTGAGGGCCCCTGCTGTGGGGCGTTCCACCTAGCCTGCCTTGGACTTTCCCGAAGACCAGAAGGAAGATTCACCTGCACTGAATGTACCTCAGGTAAGTTTCAGCTTCTAAAGCTGGGGCTTGTGTGTAGAGGCCAGCGCTGCTTGTTTCTTCTGTGCTTCCTCAAATGGTGTCTGAGACATTTGGCAGAGAAAAAGCCCCACACATATTAGCTCAAAGGTGCATGTTTCTAAGCTGCTCTTCCCCTGTACTGTGGGCTTTACTACTTGAATGACAGTATAACCAGGCAAAGTATTTCAGGACACAGTGACTGTGGGGTGAGGGACTAAGAGGCTGTGTACTTTTCCAAGTCCTTCCTGTGGGGTTTATCTGAGTCTGCTCTATAGGTGATGGTTCCAGGGCAGTGTACCTCTAAACAGTCCTGCCTAACCAGTTATAGAACACTGGTATTGGTAGAATACTCAGTTCTTGAAAAAGACTAGTTGTCGCTCTTAGCTTATTTTCAACAAGAACTTAACTGAGGGGTTAAGCACCACTCTAGTGCTTCAGGATTCGTCATAAAGTCTAGATCATACTGAGCGGAAGACCGGCTGCATAGTGGTCCCTGCTCCCCATTGACTAGGCCCAAGAAGGGTCAAGCTTCCCAGGCAGCCCAACAGCAGTAGCGCACTTCATATGCTAGTCTTCCTGTGGTTGTAGCAAGTCTTTGCTGCACTGGTGAGTGGGCCAGGAGGAAGAAAGACTCTCCTGTATTTAAGGTGAGGCTTGACAGCAAGCTTAGAAATAGAGCTAGAAGCTTTAGTAAAACAGGCTGTTCCAGAAAAACTGCTTTAAATTGCTCCGAACTGAAATTAACTCTGTTCTCTGCACCTTTCTCTCTACCTCTTTGACCACTTGTTAGGGATTCATTCATGCTTCGTGTGTAAAGAAAGCAAGATGGAGGTGAAGCGCTGTGTGGTAACTCAGTGTGGGAAGTTTTACCATGAAGCTTGTGTAAAAAAATTCCCTCTCACTGTGTTTGAGAGCCGAGGCTTTCGTTGCCCTCTCCACAGCTGTGTGAGCTGCCATGCTTCAAACCCTTCAAATCCACGGCCGTCGAAAGGTACAGATAGATGTGCCCTTACCACTCGGGTGTGGGTTCACTGGCAACGTGTAGGTGCTTCTGAAAGTGGGCCCACTCAGGGCAAACAAGTGTCACTAGAGCTCATGGACTGTGACAGTTTCCAATTGCTCCTGTTTTTCTGCTGATTCATCATGAGTCAAAAACTTGTTTTTTTTTTTCTCTGTAATATAAGACCTGCTCCCATTCCATTCTTTCCATATCAACCAGCACTTTCAGATTCTTGATTTTCAACAAAGGATACAACCTGAGCTGTTTCTGGATTCTGTTTGCTTATTTTTAAAGGCACTTTCGTAGATAAGGGAACCTTTATTTGTAATATAAGAGGTAGAACCCTGGGCTTCACACACTAGGCAAATGCTTTACCACTGAGATTCAATCTTAGCTGGAAATATTTTAAAAGCAAATTGCATATGTGAAAGATAAGGGTAGCTATGTGGGATCTGAGAGGGCAGGTGCTTTGTCTTTCTTGTCACAGGGCTTCTCTGGCAAGACACATTTTGCAATATTTAGGGAGAATATGCTATCAATATCTAGTAGGTAGGGTTTCCAGAAGAGGCTCTCATAAATCCCAAATGATTGAAATGCTGGTTAAGAGCCTCGAATAGTAATGCATGCCTGTAATTGCAGCACCCAGGGAGGCAGAGGCGGCCAGCCTGATCTACAAGGTGAGTCCAGGATAGCCAAGACTACACAGAGAAACCCTGTCTCTAAAAAACAAAATAAAAATGTTGGCTGAACCTGCTTTAGAAAGTGACATTTAAATGGTGTCTGTTTCCTCAAACATTTTTGCCTTTCTCATACAGTTTTGAAATACTTTTGCCTTGATGGAAGGTAATGTTAAGAAATAGCTCCAGGGTCTTCCATCATAAATTTTCCAGCTTTCTGAGGCTTTGTGATTTTGGTCATGGAGTCAGCGTTATTTGTGATCCTCAGTGTTTCTTTTCTTTAGGTAAAATGATGCGGTGTGTCCGATGCCCTGTTGCGTATCATGGAGGGGATGCTTGTCTGGCAGCAGGGTGTTCAGTGATTGCTTCTAACAGCATAGTCTGCACAGGCCACTTCACTGCCCGGAAAGGGAAGCGGCACCACACCCATGTCAATGTGAGCTGGTGCTTCGTGTGCTCCAAAGGTAAGGAGGGGTTCTGCTGAGTGT